AAAGAAAGAATAAAAGAGACTATTATGTGGGTTTTACCCACTTCTTTCTATTAACGTGGCATATTACATTGCTTGATTTTTGTATGTTGAACCACCGTGGCCTTCTGGAATAAATCCCCCTGAATTCACTTTGCTAGTATTTTGTTCAAGATTTTTGCATCTACTTTGATAAGGGATATTGACCTGCTTTTTTGGTTGTTTTGGTTTTTTTTTTTTACCTGATTTTATTTTGCTTGTTCCCATTACACAGCTTCTCAAATGCTATATAATTACATTCACGGCTTACTCTCTGCTCCCTACCCCGCAAAAGCATTCTTCATTGTTTCGTGCAGTGACGTAGTTCAAACCTCTTCCAATAGTGCTAGGCACACACCAGCTCAGTACCCTTCTGGGAAATGGGACGGTCCTTGGCCACTATCTCGTGCCCTCCCATCATTCACACAGACACAAAACTACAATGCAAGACTCCGCCCTAGTCCCTTCCCAAATAACCGGAACCCACAGCCCTACAGCGCAGCAGGGCCCTCACCTGGCGGGGTGTGAGCACCTGACAGCTCAGTCCACGCCGCGCCCTTATAAGGAGACAAGCATGAGAACTACACTTCCCAGAATGCTTGGGTTCCCCGACCGCTGGACTACATTTCCCAGAGGCACGCGCGGCCCGCCCCAGCCCCGCCCCCCGGACCTGAGCGCGCCGCGGCGCGTGCGCCGCCGGGTGAGCGGCCGCGGGGACTGAAGTCGCGCAGTCGTTGTCGTCATCAGAGGGCGACCGGACGCGAGGCTGCTGCCCGGCGGGGGGCGTTTCCGGGACCTGGGTTTCTGTGCCGGTTCCCCCGGTCGGCCCCGCTCCAGCATTTTCCCCTCTCCAGGTGATTTGGCTGTAAAAGTCTGGGATTTGGTTCCTAGACAGGAGGGAGAGGAGGAAAGGTGACAACAAGGCACGTGGTGAGACGAGAACGGATGCCCAGGGGTCCGGCCCGCGGTGCCGCCCTCGCTCGCTGCGGGTGTGAACCGGGGACGGGCGGCCCCCACTGTGCCCTCAGTTTCCCCATCTGCAAGAATATAGGGGCGCCAGCAATGCCAGGCAGGGGGTTTAGGGGGTGTCGCTGCCCAGCATAGAGTCTGGGCCAGCGAGAGCCGGGGCCCGGGCCGGCGTGGTTCCCTCTGGTCCTCTGCACGCCTGGGTCCTTCTGTCTCCCCTCTCCGAGGGCACTCGGGGTCACCCTCGGGTGGCGCGAGGATGTCAGAGCTGCAGACTCCCAGGGGTGGAAAACAGAAGGGGCTTCCCCCTGGCTCCCCTTGTCTTCCCGCAGGTCTCTCCCGCCTCCTGGAGACAGCACCCATCCCCCGGGGAGGAGCCCAGAGGGGGGCATGGCTGCTGCGCAGAGGAAAGCAACGTCTCAGGTGAGACGAGCAACGTCTCAGGTGAGCTCCTTGCCGTCCCTGTTCTTAGCGGATGGATTTCGTTGTTGCCGTTGTTGTTGTTAACCTTCTAACTGAAGTTCTCTACCCAGTGCAGTCATCGCCAGGTTTCAGAGCAGAAGTCCTTTGGCCACGGGACGGTGGATGCTTAGGGAATGCTTCCCTGCCCTCCCAGTCTGCTGTGTCTGGCGTTCTTTTCTTTTCCCAACAAGACACGCTTTTGCTCACTAATCTCAGTCCACTGTGTGGTTACTGACTGGATAGGTAAGATGCCCCGTGTTCTTATGTCACTAGGGACGGAGCAGACATGCACACCTGGGAAAAGTGGTTTCTGGCCCTGCCTTTTTTCCTCATCCGTGTCTCCCTTCCTGCCCCTGGTGAGAATGCTTTTTCTTTTTCTTTCCTCCCCTGAGAATTCTCATGATACCGTCTCTAGTCTTCTCCAGCTCATGGTTCTTAGTTTTTTAATCCCTCTTAACTTTACGGATCATATATGCCTTGTTTGTACCAATCTCTTGAAAACTGATCTAGACCTGCTATTTTTGTTTTCATTTGGGAGGAGAGAGGGAGGTGCCCCAACCAGGTGAAATGATGTATGAACAAAGGAGAGCCATGTTGGCAGGGGCCACAGGTGCAGAGGTCTCTTGACTGTGAGGGCAGAGAGACGATCCCTCAGGAAGCCGTAGGGAGGGTTTTTATGGAATATTGGTGTTGGAGAGGCAGTGCACACAGTGGCTAGGAAGTGACACTCTCAAGCCGGACAGCCAGGTCTTGACCCTTCTCTGTTGCTGTTTGTGGGCCTTCGACAAATAACTCCACCTCTCTGTGCCTCAGTTTCCCCACCTATGAGATGGAAATAGCAACCATGCTTGTTTCCTAGGGTAGGGGAGAGTATCACGCGAATTAGTGTATGGAAAGTTTATATCAGGGCTGGGTACATGGTACCTGCTCCATATGTGGCTACTGCGGTGGCCAAGTGGTATTATACTAATGATGATATTCATAGACAGGAACTGCTATACAATATTTCGGCGACCCAGGCAATACTGGTCCTTTATTTATTCTTCATCTTACAATAATATTTAATGTTTATCAAGTGTCCAGAATGCTGGGGAATGTGCTGAGGGCTTTGCGTTTGTTATTTCTCACAATCACAATAGCGCAATTGTCATATCCATTTTATATAGGAGGAAACTGAGGCTCAGAAGAGTCAAGTAACCTGGATTCAATCCAAGTTAGTCTGGCTTTTAGTTCATGCTTAGACTATCCATTTATTCCTTTGGTATGTCTTTCAGAGCACAGGCAAATCCAACCGCATGTTACCAGAGCTCTTCCAAAATGTGGCATTATCTTTTGGTTCCATGAATGCGGTAGGGTCTGATCTTCTGAGGCTACGGCCAGGACCTGCCATTGTGTATTTGGGCTGCTCTTTTTCCTTTAAGGGTTTCCCATTCAATTGCAACAGAGCCAAGGATTGCTTGAGCCCAGGAGTTTGAGGTTGCAGTGAGCTATGATGACACTACTGTACTATATACCTGGGGCAACAGAGCTGGAACACTGTCTCAAAAAAAAGGAAAAAAACTAAACATAGTGATACATAGCCTCCTTTTTGTACTTAACCATATGTCTTTTATGTCAACAAATATTAACTTACACCACCAGCTTTAATGATTGCATAGTATTTATTTACATTGATGTGATGATAGCTAGTAGTTTAAGCTTTAATATGAGCTTGACATGGTTTTAAGTGCATTGTGTGGATTATCTTATCTATTCTATGTAGTTGGTTCTGAGAGGCAGTTTTATAGAGTGGTTAAGAATGTTGGCCGGGCGCGGTGGCTCACACCTGTAATCCTAGCACTCTGGTGGAGGCGAGGCGGCGGATTGCTCAAGGTTCAGGAGTTTGAAACCAGCCTGAGCAAGAGCAAGACCCCGTCTCTACTTATAATAGAAAGAAATTAATTGGCCAACTAATATATATAGAAAAAAATTAGCCGGCATGGTGGCGCTTGCCTGTAGTCCCAGCTACCGGAGGCTGAGGCAGGAGACACTTGAGCCAGGAGTCTGGAGGTTGCTGGTGAGCTAGAGCTGAGCCACGGCACTCACTCTAGCCTGGGCAACAAAGTGAAATTCTGTCTCAAAAAAAAAAAAAAGAAGAAGAAAATGGAGCCTAGGACTATCCACTGGACTGGATCCCAGCTCTACCACTGAATAGTGACTTTAGACAAATTCTTATCCTCTCTGTGACTCTGTTTTCTCTTGTGTAAATGGGAACAATAAAAGTCCTTTCTTCATATGAGCAGATTAAATAAAGTATATACTAAGGATTAATATGAAGCACCAAAAACAGTATCTGGTCTATGTAAAACATTCAATAAAAGAGAACTGTTCTGAGTAAGCAGAAAGATAGTGCTGTAATTATTTTACCTAGTCTCCATCAGTGCGTATTTCGGTTGTTTCCATTTTTTTTTCCTATTACAAACACTATGATATCTTTATATTTGCACTTGTCTGCACTTTTCATTACAGTGCAAATATAGTAATTGGGGAGTTAAAGAATATACACATTTATAAGCCTTTAATATGTATTTTTGAATCACCATCAGCAAGAGTATTCCAATTAACACTCCCACTAATGGCCTCAGTGCCTGTACACATCCCTTATAGTGGCTCACACAAGGCCTGGTTCACGCTTTATGCTGCTCAATATATATCTGTTACCGGTTGATTATTCATTAAACAAACGGCCTGGGATTTTCAGGACCTTGAATAGCATCAGAAGCATTTCGTGGGTACCCTGTCGGCCTCCCCGACTGCTGCCCTCCCCGCTCTGTGGGGGCTGAGCTGGGTGAGCTGGAATGGCTTGTCCTTCAGGTGTCTCTGGTGTTCGAGGATGTGGCCGTGCTCTTCAGTCGGGATGAGTGGAGAAAGCTGGACCCTTCTCAGAGAAAACTGTACCGGGATGTGATGCTGGAGAACTACAGCAACCTGCTCTCCCTGGGTAAGGACACTTCCTCTGCAGACACAGAATTTAGACATTGTCCTGTCTCAGTGCCCCCTTCACCGAATATAAGCTGCAGGTCATCAAAAAACTTTAGCTGAGTTTGAGGATTATACAAATCAGATCTCTATAAATAAACATGAAAAACCTATTTCCCCCTTACAGGCACGGAATTGTCCCACATATGGGAATGGAGAGGCGGGTGTTGATAATCGTCCCCTTCCCTCTGTACAATTGCACTTTAGAAGTTTCTTCATGGCCGGGCGCAGTGGCTCACGCCTGTAATCCTAGCACTCTGTGAGGCCGGGGCGGGCGGATTGCTCGAGGTCAGGAGTTCGAAACCAGCCTGAGCAAAAATGAGACCCCGTCTCTACTATAAATAGAAAGAAATTAATTTTATATATAAATATATATAATACTAATATACATAGAAAAAATTAGCCAGGCACGGTGGTGCATGCCTGTAGTCCCAGCTACTTGGGAGGCTGAGGCAGGAGGATCGCTTGAGCCCAGGAGTCTGAGGTTGCTGTGAGCAAGGCTGACGCCACGGCATTCTAACCTGGGCAAGAAAGTCAGACTCTGTATAAAAAAAAAAAAGAAGTTTCTTCGTGATTAGGGCATCATTTCCCCACAATGATGTTCTGTGGTTTGTTTACTCATCTGTAAATTGGGCTTTGATCAACCTCTGGACCTACCACTTGCATTTCCTACTTATCTTTTCCAGGGGTCAACAAATCTTTTCTATAAAGAGCCAGGTAGTAAGGATTATAGGCTTTATGGGCCATATAACAGTCTTTGTAACATATTTTTCTTTTTCCCCCCACCATTCTTTGCACAAGTCCATGCATAAACAGGTGGTGGTCTGGATGTGGCCCGCAACCTGTAGTTTGCTAACCACTGCCCGCCCTTAAAAGGGAGTATTTTCTCATTTTAAACCACCTGCTTGGTACATAATCCTTTCCATAGTTGCCTGCTTACAATTTTTAATTAGTCTATATATGTAACATTCCCTGTTCTGTAGAAAACTAGTAGTACTCTGCTAATTACCAAGGCTGCATGTTCATTGTACCTCCCTAGCGTATAATTAATTATACCCAAGTCAAGTCCTACCAGTCACTTGCCTTTTCCTTAAGACATCCCCTCCCAGCGTGAGAGCATGATTTGAGCGCTCCAAGAAGCTCTTTGTACCATCCTGTTTAATCTGGGGTACCTCTTTGTGTCAAAACAAAACCAAGTTGGGTTTTTCTGGGATTCTTTTCTGATTTGGGGTTGTTTTTTGTTGTTGTTGTTATTTTGTTTTTTGTCTATGAGCAGGACTCCCATTTACCAAACCAAGAGTGATCTCACTGCTGCAGCAAGGAGAAGATCCCTGGAAGGTAGAGAGAGAGAGTCCTGGCAGACCCTCTCCCGGTGAGTGGGTGGGCCTGAGGTGCCCGGAAATCGCTTCGGCAACAGTCTGGTTGGTAAGAGGAGCTGCAGCCTGGAGTTTAATGGGAAACTCCCTTCAGGGTTCTCTCGGTCCTCAGGAAGTAGTGAGGAAAATAAATGCACTCCCATTTTCATAACATTGAGTTGTTCTGTCATTATTTGTTGAGGTGTACTTTAATGTCATTCAAGACTTGTTATTAAGTTTTCCTCATATATGCTTTTCCTATTTGTTTAAGAGTTATTCCTGTAATTTTCTGTTAGTGTAACTGAAAGCTATTGATTATAGTGTGTCAGTTTCATATCTTGCTACTTCCCTGAATGAGTTTTATCATTGATTCCCTGGGATTTTTTTTCATATATTATGTTGTCAGCAAATAGAGGTTTTACTTTCTTTTTACTCATTCTTATGTCTCTAACTGATTTCTCTTGTGTGATTGCACTGGTTAATATGTATAGTATAGTGTTGAATAGTAGGGAAAATAATGGGTATTCTTGCCTTAGTCTTGATCATAGTGGAAATACCTCTAATCCTTCTTCATTAAATAAGATAGTACTAACTTTAGGACCAAGGTATATGTATTTTATCAAGTTGAAGAAGTATCCCTCAATTTCTGTTTTTTTGAGTGATTTTATTATCAGCGGTGCAGAAGTTGTTGAAAGTTCTCTCTGTGTCTCCAGATATGTATTATTCCCTTACATATATACATTATAATATACTGTGATAAGTGGTTATACCAAGGAAAGTGGGTTGTTGGAGCACAAAATTAAGAAATGGTGCACAGAGGAGTTAACATTTGAACTGAATCTGAAGGCTACAAAGGAGTTTTGCATGTAGGAAATGGCGACATTCAAGTTTAGAAATTATTATAGAAATGAGGTAATTTATGAGTCCATCATAAGCTTTAGATACCAGACTACATTTCCTAATCCATACTCTGTCTCTCCTTCCCTAATTCCTTCTCTCCTGATCACACTTATGCTCTCAACCTCCTTAAATGAAATTGCTTTATTCTTTTGTTCATGCTAGTTCAGCTGTAATCCATTATTAGTTTATACAATGTTTTATTTTTTACTCTTGTTAGTATGTTTTAGCCATATAGCAACCTTTATCAAGATATCATTAATCTTTATTCCTTTTACACATTTAGTCTCAGCTAATCACATTAATCATTAACAATTGCTTTTTGTTTTCCCCCTTCCCCCAGGATTTAAGAGCAGTCCTAAAACAACAAAATCAACTCAAACTCAAGACTCATTTCAGGAGTTGATAAGGAAAAGACTAAAAAGGGATGAACCTTGGGACTTCATATTAGCAAAGCCCTGCATAAATGAAGACAGGTTAAAGAAACAGGACAAAACCAAAAGTTTACAAATAATTTCAATCACCCATACAAAAATCCTCACCGTAGGTGGAAGCCATAAAAACAATGAATTTAGCCAAAACTTCAACCTGAAATCAGTCTTCATTAAGCAACAGAGGTTTGCTATAGAGAAAACATCATCAACATATGAAATACAAAGAAATAACTTCAAGCAGAATTCAAATTTACATAACCAACCAAAGATCAAAACGGCAGAGAAACATTATAAATGTAATATATGTGAAAAAGCCTTCATTCACAATTCATCTCTTCGTAAACATCAGAAAAACCACACTGGAGAGAAATTATTTAAATGTAAAGAATGTTTAAAAGCCTTCAGCCAAAGTTCTGCTCTTATTCAACATCAAAGAACTCATACTGGAGAGAAACCCTATATATGTAAAGAATGTGGGAAAGCTTTCAGCCATAGTGCATCCCTTTGTAAGCACCTAAGGACCCATACTGTGGAAAAATCCTATAGATGTAAAGAATGTGGTAAATCCTTCAGCAAAAGATCTGGCCTGTTTATACATCAGAAAATCCATGCTCGAGACAATCCCCATAAATATAATCCAGGTAGGAAACCTTCCAGTTGTAGTACTTCCCTTTCTGGATGCCAAAGAATTCATTCCAGAAAGAAGTCCTACTTGTGTAACGAATGTGGCAATGCCTTTAAATCTAGCTCATCCCTTCGTTATCATCAGCGAATTCACACTGGAGAGAAACCTTTTAAATGTAGTGAATGTGGGAGAGCCTTCAGTCAGAGTGCGTCTCTTATTCAACATGAAAGAATTCACACTGGAGAAAAGCCCTACAGATGTAATCAGTGTGGAAAAGGCTTCACTTCTATTTCACGTCTTAATAGACACCGAATAATCCATACTGGAGAGAAATTGTATAATTGTAATGAATGTGGTAAAGCCTTAAGTTCCCACTCAACACTTATTATTCATGAGAGAATTCATACTGGAGAGAAACCATGTAAGTGCAAAGTGTGTGGGAAAGCCTTCAGACAGAGTTCAGCTCTCATTCAACACCAGAGAATGCATACTGGAGAAAGACCCTATAAGTGTAATGACTGCGGGAAAACATTCAGGTGTAACTCCTCCCTTAGTAATCATCAAAGAATTCACACTGGAGAGAAACCATATCGATGTCTGGAATGTGGAATATCTTTCGGCCAAAGTGCGGCTCTTATACAGCATCAGAGGATTCATACAGGAGAAAAACCTTTTAAATGTAACACATGTGGGAAAACTTTTAGACAAAGCTCATCACTTATTGCACATCAAAGAATTCATACTGGAGAGAAACCCTATGAATGTAATGCATGTGGGAAACTCTTTAGCCAGAGGTCATCTCTTACTAATCACTATAAAATTCATATTGAAGAGGACTCCTTGAAAACAGATTTGCATGTGTAAAAGCCTTAAACCAAAGCTTGTCAGAGGATAGATACTTGAGGTTGATATAATGAAAATAAGAAAATCTTATTTTAATTTAGTCCTTATCAGATATTAAATTTTAAGGATAAACCATGACTATGTAATAAATAAGGGGGAAACTTTTATAGTTGTCAGTCACTTTTAAATATCCTGAGACAATTCACAATTGCAGGCATTGATATTGGTCATTTGTAAGATAAAAGATGGGTTTTTTTCCCTCTGTTTACACAGCAATATATACTATATGTGACATGTAAACATGAGAAAAATCTGGGTGCAGAGGTGCTAGATTTCTCAGAAAAACAACTGTATAAGCTGCTAGTATATTTATTACAGCTAATATTTTCTAAGAAAAAAAGAATTGATCTTAAGAACAGATGCATTTTTAGAGCAAAGTACCAAATAAAAGAAAAACAAACTGCAAACTACCTCTCAGTGTCTGGAATTTACCTCTTCTTGACCTATTGTCAAACTTTGTGCATGGATTTCATTAAAAAAGAGAAAGAAAATCTGTTCTCTTTTCTCTTTGTTCTTCTAGTCATTTCTGAACTATACCTAATAGCCTCCCACCTTTTCTACACATTTCATAATTTTGTTCTCAGAATTATTTTTCTTGAAGTTGTATTAATTATGAAACTAGGCCAGGCCAGGCAGTGGCTCACGCCTGTAATCTTAACACTCTGGGAGGCAAGATGGGAGGATCGCTCAAGGTCAAGAGTTTGAAACCAGCCTGAGCAAGAGTGAGACCCCATCTCTACTATAAATAGAAAGAAATTAATTGGCCAACTAAATATATATAGAGAGAAAAAAATTAGCTGGACATGGTGGCGCATGCCTGTAGTCCCAGCTACTAGGGAGGCTGAGGCAGGAGGATTGCTTGAGCCCAGGAGTTTGAGGTTGCAGTGAGCTGTGATGATTAAAAAAATAAATAAATAAATAAAACAAAAGAGAAACTCCCGCAAAAAGAGTACCTACTATATGATTTCATTTATGTAAAAATTCTAGGAATTGCAAGTTAGTTGATAGTGACAGATCACTGGTGGTTTGGGAGGGAGTGCAGGACGGTATGGAGGGGCAGGCAAGAGTTACAAGAGGTCAAGAAGAAACTTTTGGGAATGATGGATATATACATTATCTGGACTATTGTGTGTACATTTTCAAAATACATGTAGTTTTTAATAATTCCTTTTTCATTTTTAATAACACTTTTAGAATTTAAAAACCGTTCTTAGCTCTTGGGCCTTTAAGATAGAAGCTGAGGGCCAGATTTGGCCCTTGGCTGAAGTCTACCAAGCCCCGTGTGACGTGGCCCATGCGAGACCACCTCTCCGGCACCTCTGGCAAATGGCCCCCAGGGTCTGTGTGGCAAGGGCTTGCCTCGTCATAGACTGGAATCACATCATCTGCAGGTGAACTCTTGCGTGGGCTTCTGCAGCATCTAAACGCTGAGATGAGTTTCCATATACAAGTTTCTCAACTCCATCTCCCCAAAAATTTGGGAGAAAGGGTATTTAACCACAGTTTGGTGGGCAAAAGTCTAGGCAGTTGGGTCTGCTAATTGGCTGGGTTCAGGTCCCTTAGAAATGGTCTTCTTTGCTGAGTCAGTTCTTGGGTGGGGGTCGCAAGACTAGTTGATTCAGTTTCTCAGTACAGTGCACTGGTCTGGGTGGGGCATCTGCTCCATCTGGAATACAGGGCCTGGAAGATATCTCAAAAATCAGCCTTAGGTTTCACAAGGGTGATGTTGTCTATGTGGAAAGTTAAGAACCTTTATCCTCATCAGCAATGTGGCTCCTGAGTAACAATTATGGGAAAGCCAACAAGGGGACAATGGCTGGTTAGTACCATTACTTGTTAGCTATGCCTGTGCCTTTGCAGAGTTTTAGGCCCCTACCACAGTTCTCGCCTTGCACCTCTTTATTAACTTGTAAAGGGTGGTTTCGCCTCAACAAGCATTCCTGGCTCCAGAGTTGTGTAGTGGGTTGGCTGAGACAAACCCTCATCATGGCTTGAGGCCCCCTTGCCCAATCCCGCTTCCTCCCCCCTGTGCTTTCATACACATAACCACCCCCCAGTATTCCACTTGCATTCCTAATGCCACCTCAGCATCGAATTCCTAGAGAACTTAACTGACACAGACGGCAATGCCTATCACAAGAAGGGGACGACAGACCTATGGTTTCCAAATGTTTCTGAAACTATGAGTCCTTTTGATTAAACAAAATCTAACAAAGAAGCCCATCTTTACAAAGCAGATGAAGATAGGTCTGTTCTTATTGAACAGGGTGGAAGACCCGGAATTCAACTCCCTATGCCTACAGACTCCAGGGTTCTTCCAGGTAAGGCTGGGGAATTAACTCAGAGCCACTGAAGGAATTTTGTTAAAGGCTGTGAAGGGGTCGGACTTTCATTTCAGGTGGATGAATCTGCCAGCTGCCAGGATGGACTGAAATGAGAAGGCGTGGAAACTTTTTTCCTTTTGTCCGGTCTGAAGCTTATGAGGTCAGATCTAGAATGGCAGGGATAAGGATGGAGAGGAGGGGCTGGATTTGTTCATTCACTTATTTATTCAGCAGATATGCAGGAAGTGTTCACCATGTGCTCAGCACTGTGATAAAGGAAATGTGTGTGTGCAGTGTTGAGCAGAGTGTGTACCACCCTTGTGCTGTGAAACTTCACAGTTTGGCTCAGGTCCAGAGAGGGAAAGGAAGGGCTCCAGGGGGTGCTGAAGTTTCCACTGGGGCGGGTGATGTTCCCCAAACCAGTGACCAGTTAGTGAGGGGTGTAATCACTCCAATGGGTCCTTCTCTTTTTCATTATACATAAGACGTTTGATCCAATGGGTGTTAAACAGCATTTACTGAAATAAAAAACACCAGGGTGTCTTAAGGGAAAGAACAGTTTACAGAAATTGTGTCTCTGTTATATATGTGCAAGTCTGTGCAATATGCTTCTTACTGAGGGACAAATAAATAGAGGGAAAAATAAAACAAAACCTTGTAAAACTCTATATGAAGGATCAGCACATGCCTGTAACTCTGTATTCTCTGACGGGCTAATCATGTCTTACTGTTGTGTCCACACACGCGGACAAGTGGAAGTGGACGGATGAATGGATGGGTTATGCATGCACGTGGTGGATGGATAAAAAATGAATGGGTTAGCCAGGCGCGGTGGCAGGGGGCCTGTGGTGCCGACTACTGGGGACACTGAGGCAGAAGGATCCCTGGAGCCATAGCAAGACCCTGGAGAGAGAGGGAGAGGGAGAGAGAAGGCGGAAGGAGGGAAGCTTAGGAGAGTAGGGGGATGAGGGATGGATGGATAGATGGCTGAAAGGTAAATGGAAGGATTATGGACGGAGGGAAGCAGACAGATCTGCAGAAGCAGGTGTAAGGCGTGCTGAATTTGGGGTGTCTGAGAAGGTCTCAGGACAGCGGAGATGGACATAGAAGTTACGGTCGCGGGAGAGGTCAGGGTGAGGAGGCTGAGGCTCCGCAGGCGACAAGAAAAGGGGTGAACTGACTTGAGGAGGAAAGTTGGAAGCACGTAAGGTCCCACTCGAGACCCTTTGACGTCACCACCGCGCGCCCCGCCTCAGGCCCAGCCTCTTTCCTGCAGGCCACGCCCCCGAGGCGCTCCGCCGGCGCGTCGGAGTCCTCCCCACCACAAAGCCCTGCGGCTAGAAGGGCCGGAAGTGCACGAGAGCATCTGAGCTTTGCCGCCGCACTCGCCACCCTTTGGGTCAGCTCCCGGGTACCGGCTCTCGCGAGCGGCCGCTGGCCCTCCGTGTCTGGCTGGCTAGAGCAGCGTTTACGCCGCTCAGTGGCTTGAGTTGATTGTCACTGTCTCCGCCCTCTGCCACGAGTCCGTCTGGCCTATGAGGTGCGGCTGGGTGGGCGGCCTGGAGCGTCTCCTGGAACGCCATAGAGACGTGGTCCTCCGACAGCCCAGTCGGCCACCGAGTGTGGGCTAGAGCGCCTACGTCATTTTCTGTCGCCTCCGGCTAGGTGAGGAGCCGCGGCACCTGAGGAGGACGCCGCCGAGCAGGGCAAACTCTGAGGCTGGCGAGGAAGGTGACAGGATGGGGATTGCACCCTGAGCCTCGAGGGGAGCTCGGGGTGCAGCCTGGATCTGTCCCTGCCGACCTCAGAGGGTGGCTGCGAGTCCAGGTTGGGGGCGATGGCGTCCTGAGAGAGGGCATCAAGGCGTCTTTGCGGGCCCGAGTAGGAAGAGCAGGGTTGAGGACGGCTTAGGTCACCAGCGCGGCTGGGAGGCAGGCCGTCAGTTCCGAGCTGACGCGTCTACACCGGCCAGCGGCGCGTTAAGATGGCTGGCTACGCCGCCACTCCCAACCCCTTGCAGACGCTGCAGCAGGAGGCGGTGTGCGCCATCTGCCTGGATTACCTCGAGGATCCTGTGTCCATCAGCTGCGGGCACAACTTCTGCCGCGGGTGTGCGACCCGGCTGTGGGGTAAGGATGAGGAAGACCAGGCCGAGGAAGAGGATGAATCGGAGGAGGGAGAGGAGGGTGGGGAAGCCGTGGGGCCACCGGTGGATGGGACAGCTCCATTCGGGAGGTGTTGTATCGGGGGAACGCTGACGAGGAGCCGTTCCGCGACCAGGAGGATGACGAATTCTGGGTCGGTTACAGTGGTGCGAGAAATTGGGGCGACGTGGATGATGGGTGGGACCAGGAGGAAGAAGAGGAGGAGGAGGAAGATCGGGACTATTACCTAGGAGGCTTGAGACGTGACCTGAGGATTGATGTTTACCCAGAAGGGGAGGCGGCACTGGAAGCTTACAGTGAGGGGGAGGAGGTGTATCCTGACACCCGCCCACCTCCGCGCCCTCCGCGGCAGTTCACCTGCCCCCAGTGCCGAAAGGGCTTTACACGTCGCAGCTTCCGCCCCAACCTCCAGCTGGCCAACATGGTCCAGGTGATCCGGCAGATGCACCCCACCCCTGGCCGAGGGAGCCGGGCGAACGAGCAGGGCGTCTGTCCCGAACACCAGGAAGCCCTGAAACTCTTCTGCGAGGTGGACGAAGAGGCCATCTGCGTGGTGTGCCGGGAATCCGGGAGCCACAAACAGCACAGCGTGGTGCCGCTGGAGGAGGTGGTGCAGGAGTACAAGGTGAGAGGAACAAGGAGGGACTTTGGGAGAAATCCCTTTCCCACCCCTCAGGTGCTTGCTAGTTGAACTTCAATTTGCAAGGGGGAGGGTGGGGAAGAGAGCCCGGTGGAGAGAGAGAGGGCAAATTGGCTTCCCCAGAGGAAGCTAAACAAACATATGAGGGTCACTGGAAGCAGACCGCTATTGTTAATGCTGTCTGTCTAAGTGCCGGGGGATAGGTAACAGATACCTAGTACTTAATTTCCCTCTAATGTGCGTCCTAGTCCTTGACCAAGTCTGTGGGACAGTTATAGACCAGAATGGAAAGCCGCAGTACTTGTAGATAAGAGACGTTTGGGAATCTCAGAGCACAAGCAGTTTCAAACAGATGACTGGTATTGGCAGACAGAAATGCCAGGTGTGACCCAAACTAATGGTAGCAACTGGTCACGCCCACCTCCCAAAGTCTGAGTTTGCTTCTCCACCTTCAGTAGGGTCCATTTTCCTTCTAGGGAAATGCAGAGGACACAAAAATTTTTGATCGATCAGATTGAATCTCACGTCCTCATCATTTTCCTTTCCTGGTATTTTACCACAGTGGGAGAAGTGAGGAATTTAGGATCAGATGACCTGGCTCTGCCACTTGCGGTGTAATTTGGGGCAGGTCTCAACCTCTTTGAGCTTCACTTTTTCCCAGGATTGTTAGAATTAAAAGAGGTCATGTATGTTAAAGATCACATATTTTATAAACCATGAAGCACTAAACTAAGGTTAATGCCTTCCTTTCTAGATCTGATCTTATAACCATTAGAGAACTGTCTCAATGACAGTGAGCATGAATACAGACTTCCTTACCAAAAGTCTAGGTGGATTTTGACCCCTTGCAGTGCCCAAGGAAGGAGAGGTCCTTCCATAAAAGTCCCATGTGGCCCATAAAAGTCTTAACCTGGATATTCAATAGCAGCTGGTCACATCTCAGGAGTGCTTTACAGTTTATAAAATGTATTTCATGTTCTCCTATAGCAGTGGTTTTTCAAGCTATGGTTTCTGACCAATTAGTGAGTCTTAAAATAAATGGGTCATGTCAGCATTATTTTAAAATGAAATAAGAGAACATATCAGAGCAAATGGAGCATAGTAAGGGTGAATATTGTTTTATGAAACTTATACACATGTGCATAGTTAGTCTCAAAGTAAAATATATTGCTGCGAAGGGTGAAAAAAGGAAAAAAATATATATTGCATACTCTGGGTTGAGTTAAAACACAAACACAGAACACTGTCCTGCAGGCATCATATATTGGATATTATATCACCCCCCATTTTATGTAAACATTGGTAAATGCACAGTTGAGACACAAATCTAATTATAAATCCCTGTGGCCTCTCTCATACGAATCTGACCTTAAAGACTAACCCTAGCACCATGTTTTTACCCAGGGTAATAGCTAATTTGCTCACAGAAAAAACTATGTCCTATCCTTCTGTACTTCAGTACACTGAAGCTGAGGAAAAGAGATAAACTTCCATTCCTCTGCTAGAATTTTCTGGAAAGGATTCTGAAACTGAAAGTTTAAATGAAAGACAATTTAGACAGAGAAGAGATGGTCTCTTCAACTGGGGAGGCCAGATAACATTCATTGAAACCTTAGAAGTTACTTATAAAGCAATCAATAAGTATAAACAAACAACAAAACCAAGTCAAATAAATTGGAATAATGCCTTTCTGAAACATATAATATTTAAAAGTATACTTTTATTTTCAAACATATACTAGAACTTAGGTCATAGTGTTGCCAAATATGGGAATTATACTGAAGAGGTAATAATTTGTATTTTATGTAAGTTAGGTGTAAGCTAATAGTAATTGACAAATTCTTATTCTTATTTTTTATTATTTTATTTTTATTTTTTTGAGACAAAAAGTCTTACCATGTTGCCCAGGCTAGAGTGCTGTGGTGTCAGCCTAGCTCACTGCAACCTCAAACTCCTGGGCCCAAGTGATCCTCCTGCCTCAGCCTCCCAAGTAGCTGGGACTACAGGCATGTACCACCATGCCCGACTAAAATTCTCTTATTCTTTATGTGGTTTCATAGTTTGCCACTTCCTTTCATTGGTAAACATGCAAATAATAATGGCATGATTTAGAATTTCACTAAACAAAACTCATAATAATAGTTAACATTACAAGGAACTATTTTTGTATAATGATATATTTAATATCTTTTAGTATACATTATTCATCACATGATTCTGGCTGCAGTGAATTCTCTCTTGCTAGTGACTAACTCTGCACACATTTTTGATCTATTGTGGAGGTAATCAAGCTTTTTAGTTTTAGGAGCATTGAGTCAGGAGGTTGTAACCAACAGATTTAAGGAATAGGTCAATGATGTTCAGGAAGAGAAGAGAAAGACATTCCTCTTCCCCCAGTAAATCATATTGGCATTACAGTGTGTGGGAGAATATAGTTTATAAAATCATACTTAGTACTGTAATGTTGAAAAGAAAAAAAAATACTTAATTTTTCATAATATAGGAAATAAAGTTGGAAAGAACTCCTTGACTGGTGGGAATACAAAGAAGATAGAGCAAGAAAGCATTCAGAGCAAGACCTATAATCAATGAGGTGTATGAAAGGTTGGGTAGCCACAGGACATGGTCATTGTGGATATGGTTCCATTTATACAACTATTTCTGTATCACATATCCAGGACAATTACATTGTTTTGAGGTCAATGTTCTTTTAGAATTTGATTTTGTGTAGGAAGAGGCTTTTTAGCCCTGAAAGTTTATTTATGTCTTCCATTTTGTCCATCCCATGAGTTAGAGTTTGACTTGATTCTGCAAGCTAGAATCAGAGGATTATAAAAGTAAGATCATTTAGATTTAATAACTACTATTTAGGGCACCACCAAATGATGTCAGGTTTTAGGTGGCAGACGGGTATGTAAGAAGAAAATGAACAAAGATTTCACTTACTGGGGCTCAGGCATAACTGGACGCCTGGATTGCCCTGCCACCCACTGCCGACAATAAAATCATTCATCACTCTGCAAGAGGGACCATCATCAGTACTCCTTGTTTTTCTGTTTTCTCTTTTGAGGTAGCTAAAAGTGGCAGCCACAAATTGTTTTGAGGCTTTTATCAAATATATATTTATGTTATGATGCAAAAGATAGGGTTGACTTCTTCAGTTGTGTTATCTGAAAATGTTGGGTGGTGACACTATGCCAAACACTGTAAAATTTGTGCCACTAAAAACAGTGGAGTGTTCTTCAAAGCACAATTCTCTGCAGTTTTAAGATTGGACAGTATTGGAATATTAACAGAAATCTTCAGAGGCCATGAAAGCTTAATATTAAATAGCCCTTTTCATTACAAAGGAGAAAAAAATGGAGAAACTTGTGAAACCTTGCATTCTAAGTGCTGCCACAACTTTGAGAGGAAATTAAGGAATTCCATAATTTCTTCATCTGCTTCTGCAGTCTTAACTCTGAATTAATGACTGAGTATATCAAACTTCAGCTTTTAAGAAACATCAGCTCACCCTTCATTGGTACTAGTTGAGATCAATCTCCTGATGAAAAAAACTGCTTTGCTTATGTTCAAAAGAGGACTTTCAAAACTGGATGTGCGCCTTTCATGAGCCTAGTGCTTGACCACTAAAGACTACTTTTGAAGCTGTATCAAATAAACTGAGTTGGAGAAAATTTTATAGGAGTATATGTTGATGGCGCTACAGCAATTCTGTGTTTTAGATCCGTTTTCTGGGCAAAAATTGAAGATAATTTGCATTCAAGATGTACTGAAGGAGTCACCACCAAGCACCAACTTCCACTGATTCCCCTTAATCTACTGGAAATCTTCAGCCTTGCTCTCAGCATAGACCATCATGAGAAACAGCACCTTCCGTCCCAGTTGTCTTGCTTTTTGAAGATCTGAATACCATTCAGTGTTTCTGGTACATACTAAAAGTTTCTTGTCAAAGAGAACTGTGTTCAGCTGAATTTATGGACAGAACAACCCCAATGTTGGAACAATGAAAGAGAATCTATACTTTACAATTGCAAAAAAATTAAAAATTTCAGCAGTTTTAACACATTGAAGCTTAAAACACATTATGAAATACTTCAAAACTTACCAAAAATATGAATGTAAAAATAAAGCATATGTAATGTATATATAAGCAAAGTCGTGCTAAAAATATCTAATTTTCTTGGCCAGTTTTTCAAGGACCAGATTCATGAATGTTATTTCAAGGAAAAAAGTGAAATATTCAGAATTATTTCAGATATGTTCCTGACCTTGTTCCTAAAACTTACCTGTGGTAGCTTATGGGAAGAATGTATTCCACACCAATGTTCCGTCCTCACTGGAGGAGATTCAAGAGGAGTTTGTGAAACTCAAAGTCTGATTGTTTTGACTAGAATCTTCCAGCTAAATACACTAGAGAAACAGGTGTAAAACGTCTAAACAGATTGGAAGCCTTTATTCCACTCATTATTCCATTTTCTCCTTATATCTTAAAAAGCTTTTTTTCTTTTTGGTTTTATCTAGCTGTGGGGAGAAAACAGTGCAAGAGTAAAGAGTGTTGTTGAAAGCAGCCTGTGTTTTTTTGCACCTTCTATACCACCCAGGAAAGAAAAGTTTAGGCTTAACAGTGACATGGTTATCATCATCTGAATAAATTTTTTCCTTCTAAAATTACCATTGCTTTGATTAATTTCAGTCATGATAGTTAATTCTGAAATTTAAGATAACACTGAAGGGGGGGAAATGTGGGAGTTTTAGGCATATGAAAAGTAGGGGTGTGGGTTACAGAAATGTTGAGAAAAACTGGTATATCCATGTGCACCAGATGCTCATTTGTTCATTGAATGTCTTCCCTACTAGGTTCAGCTGTTGACTGCTATATCGCAAGTCAAACTGTTTAAACTTGTTCCTCTACTCCTATGGCCGTGTCTGGGACCTCATCTTTACACAAATTTGCTACACATGTGAAGTCCTCAACTGCAGTTGCACTATGACCTTCCCTCTTAGCCTTCTAGTACACTTAACCACACTGCTATTATACTTGCCCTCAGCTTTAGGAAGCCCACTGTTCCAGTGACTCTGCATTTTTTTCCTTCCCAACTTACCAGACCTTGCTAGCCTTATTATCCTATGAGCCTGGACCTCTGGATTAGTCTTGACATGAAGACCGGATCCCATGTTGTGAGCTGGACCAGGATTTCTCAGCCTCAGAACTACTGACATTTTAAGTGAGATAATTCTTTGTCATGGGGGCTGTTCTATGCATTGTAGGATGCTTAGCAGCATCCCTGGACTCTACCCACCAATACAAGTAGCACCCTTCCACTGCTTGTGACAATTAGAAATGCCTAGACATTGCCAAATGTCCCATGAGGGGACACTGCAAAAGCATCCCCAGTTGAGTCCCTGGTCTAGACTCGGGGAAAGTGATCATACCCACATTGCCAGCCCCACCTAGGCCCTGTAGCCAATGCTTGCAATGTTTACTCCCTAAGTGAGGCTGGTAATGGGGATATGACCACTTTTCCTGAGTGGTCACTAATGAAAGTGTTCAGTGGAAGAATAGGCTCATCTAGCTGAAACCTCTAAAAGTAGCCTGAGCATTAGTGGATTAATGGATATGATACCCACTTCTCCAAACTCTTGCAGTGGATATGGTAGGGTCAACAAACCTTTTTTAAACATTAGAATTGCCTATATCAGTTCCTTTTGGGACAACAGGGACCATGACAGATAAAGCACTATACAAAATCAAGATCTAGAAATAGTGAGTAATAAAATACAATCACTTGAGCTACTCCTCAGTTTCAGCAGGGCCATAGAGAAGTCATGTTTTATTTAGTAATTGTTCAGAACTAATATACAAGACCCTCCAGGGGTGGCCCTTGACTGATACATACATCATCAGTCCCTAAAGGAATTTCTTAAAACCTAAGGCTTCTGCTATTGAGCATCAACCCTTGGCCTTTATGCTGTGCTTCCTGAAACCTCTATAGGACCTATAGATTCTATGCTGTTTTCCACCCTCTACCCCTGACAGGGCGGGGGGTGAGGGGGACCCTCCAGAAATGTTATCCTATAACAGCGAATACAAATATTTATTGGCTGGTAAAATGGGGTTACAAAAAGGGGAGACATAGAGACACAAGCTCTGTATGTTAAATGTAGGGGACTGACATACTTTCCTAGTTTAAGAATTAAATTTAGTGAGTAATGTACGTGCTCTGCCCAGAGCGCTTAAAAGTAATGTGTTCTGGACAGGATCCCTGTGATAAACAAGGCTATTGCCTAGAGGCATAACAAAGGACCTGAACTGCAAGTAAGCAAGAGCTGCCCAGCCCCACAGCAGTGGGGGTCTGGAGGCCACACGATAAACACATTGTTCCTGTGATTGCTGCTTAATTCCCATAAGATGGCTGGTTAGTCAATGACGGGTAAGACCCCTCAAGGGAGGGGCGACCTAAGCTATGCACAGCCGCTGGGGTTCAGCCTAAGAGATACTGGGGATGAGAAATGTCCCCTGTGGCTGCCTTGCCCATCCTTGCTAATCTCGGTCCGTGATCTATGCCTGGCACCTAGAGCAAACCACCTGGAAAGTTTGAGTCAGGGGATATCTGTGTCCCTAAGGCTACATGTTCCGGAATTTATGGCCATTGCTGCAATTCCTGCGTGGTTACGTATAAGGAACTAACTTTAATTTTTTAGAGTATAAAAATAAAACTGACCTGGTGTATTATTACTCACGTCAACTGTCTGTATGTGTGTCTGCGTTTTTGTTTTGTGTTCGGTGTTCATCCTCCATCCTGTAAACAGGCCACGGTATTCAATCTAATAGAATGCTGTACAAAAATGAGGTGTTCTCTATATGTGTACTATCCAGTACAGCACGTACCCCTACCTACATGGCTATTGAGCTCTTGAAATGTGGCTAGTGCAACTCAGGAACTGAATTCTTAGTTGTATTTAATTTTAGTTAATTTTAAGTAGCCATATCAAATCATATTGAACAGTACAATTCTACACAAGAAAGGCAGGTTGAATTCTGGTTCTTCCTAGGATCCTTGGGAGTAGGAAGTCAAAAGGGGAAGATAAAAATAGAGAAATGAGACAACTTTCTTTTTCCAGATAGGAAAGGTAGGCTGGAAGTTGATATTTTCAGACATTAAAAAAATAAAATATTTTAAAAATCTGACCAAAACAGTCTTGAGCCAGTTGCCACTTCTGATCCAGGTGTATCACATGCAGGAGATGTGACAGGGGAAAACTGGTTAAAAAATATCAGCTGTATTATCTCCTCCTAGCAAAAAAGAGCTGGGGCTGGAGTCTCAAAGTAGGAGGGATATAAATGTAAAACAAGGTTTTACTTGCTGCCTGAGTGAAAATGGGATGTGGTGCAAACCTAGTATTAAAGCAGGTAAATAGGTTCATTCTTTCTCCTTTTACAGCAGATCTTGGTAGAGGGTGGTGAGGAGATCTTGGAGTCCTAGAAGAGAAAGCAGTATGTGCTGCCAGAGTTAATGAGAAGATCTAGGAGTAACAGGGCTGAAGAGGAGGAGACAGTTCCCCAGTCCATGAGAGCTAAAGGTGGCGATAAATTTAACTGGTGTCAGCCCGCAAACCAAGAGCCCTCATAGGCGCTATGGAGAATCCTGGGTGTGGGGAAATGAGCTCAACTCTGCATGTGAGTGTAGGAGAGTCAACAAGATTCTGTTATTAGGATACCTGCAAAGAAGGAAGGAAATAGCCCAAGTTATTACTTGTTACCCTACCCCACCACACACTCCAAAGAAGGGGGAAAACACTCAGGTAGAGTGCAGTAGAATCATAGCACACAGCAACCCCCAAACTCCTGAGATCAAGCTATCCTTCTGCCTCAGCCTCTGGAGTAGCTGGGACTACAGATGCAGAATTTTTCTATTTTTAGTAGAGATGGTGTCTCACTGTTGCTCAGGCTGGTCTCAAACTGCTGAGCTCAAGTGATCCTCCCACCTTGGCCTCCCAGAGTGCTAAGAATGCTAGGATTACAAACCTGAGCCACCATGCTGGCCTATATCAGGGATTTGAATTAGAAATAGCCTTTAAGGCTGGACGCGGTGGCTCATGCCCGTAATTCTAGCACTCTGGGAGGCCAAGACCAGAAGATGGCTCAAGGTCAAGAGTTGGAAACCAGCTTGAGCAAGAGTGAGTGAGACTCTATCTCTACTAAAAATAGAAAGAAATTAATTGGCCAACTAAAAATATATAGAAAAAATTAGCAAGGCATGGTGGCGCATGCCTGTAGTCTCAGCTACTTGGGAGGCTGAGGCAGAAGGATTGCTTGAGCCCAGGAGTTGGAGGTTGCTGTGAGCGAGGCTGGCGCCACGGCACTCACTCTAGCCTGGGCAACAAAGTGAGACTCTGTCTCAAAAAAAAAAAAAGACGAGAGTGATGAGATCTGATTCTTTTTTTTTAGACAGAATCTCACTCTGTTGTCTGGGCTAGAGTGCCAGGGCGTCAGCCTCGCTCACAGCAACCTCACACTCCTGCGCTCAAGCCATCCTCCTGCTTCAGTCTCCCGGGTAGGTAGGACTACAGGCATGCGCCACCATGCCTGGCTAATTTTTTCTATATATTTTTAGTTGGCCAATTAATTTCTTTCTATTTATAGTAGAGACGGGGTCTCACTCTTGCTCAGGCTGGTTTCAAACTCCTGACTTGAGCGATCAGCCCTCCTGGGCCTCCCAGAGTGCTGGGATTACAGGCGTGAGCCACTGCACCCAGCCAGATCTGAATCTTAAAGAGAGTACTCTAGGCCTCAGGACAAAATCTAGTTTTCTTAGCAGCAAATGCCTTCCTGACTAGGGCTCCTTGCCCATGTGGAGTTTCACACTTTCTCTTACTATCCCTCTCAAAGCCATCCCTTCCTAACCTCTGCACCCATTCTGATTGCTCTGACTTGAAAGCCCTTCCTTTAACTACATGCCCTTTACTATTCAACCAGTGAGGCTGGCCACCCGAAGTAGAATCTTCCACATGCCAGTAGAGGAATGCTCCTCTACTGGGGGCTGAGCATGTAGGACTGACCAGAAACAGACCAGTCCCTGTGCTCGGGGCCTTCATACATGACAGCCCCGAGGAACTGAAATAACTATACTGAGCAAAGGACCATACACCACCTATGAGAACATGAAACAACAGAAAGTGACCTAGACCTGAGGGTCACAGAGGCTTCCCTGAGGAAGGAAGCAACATAGCCTGAGGCTCTGAGGAAGCTTAGATCCAAGTAAGGAGGCAAGGAATAACGGATATGGTAAGACTCCATGCAGAACAATGTGTGTTCTGTGTGGGAGAGGACTGATGCGTTGGAGGAGCAGGGGAGGGCCCCCGTAGCCACAAAACGGAGTATGGGGCGTGCAGGAGCCAGTCGCACAGATTCTGCACAGCCAATGGCAAAGATTCTGGTCATTGCAGTACTGTGGGAAAGCCACCTGCCCAGAGCTTCGGCGAGCAGTCAGCAGCCCCTGTGGTCCTGGCCACACACCCTTTCCTCAGCCCCTCACCTACCACCTACAGGCAGCCCTGGCCTACTACCTACAGGTACCCCTCGCCTACCACCTACAGGCAGCCCTCGCCTACCACCCACAGGTAGCCCCTCGCCTACCATCCACAGGTAGCCCCTCGCCTACCACCCACAGGTAGCCCCTCGCCTACCACCCACAGGTAGCCCCTCGCCTACCACCCACAGGCAGCCCTCACCTACCACCTAACAGGCAGCCCTCGCCTACCACCTACAGGTAGCCCCTCGCCTACCACCCACAGGTAGCCCCTCGCCTACCACCCACAGGTAGCCCTCGCCTACCACCTAACAGGCAGCCCTCGCCTACCGCCTACAGGTAGCCCCTCGCCTACCACCCACAGGTAGCCCCTCGCCTACCGCCTACAGGTAGCCCTCGCCTACCACCTACAGGTAGCCCCTCGCCTACCACCCACAGGTAGCCCCTCGCCTACCACCCACAGGCAGCCCTCGCCTACCACCTAACAGGCAGCCCTCGCCTACCGCCTACAGGTAGCCCCTCGCCTACCGCCTACAGGTAGCCCTCGCCTACCGCCTACAGGTAGCCCCTCGCCTACCACCCACAGGTAGCCCCTCGCCTACC